ATTTAACAGCATTGATAATCTCAATAAACAAGTATTACATTGATGTATCTGTGGTCTGTTTTAAAATATTAGCATTTATGGGGGTCCTGAAGCTCTTGGGGGCCTGATGATGCTGCTGACTTAATTTGGATTAAACAGAAGTGCAAATTTGTTGTTTTTAGACTAGTTGTGGGTTTAAATAGCATTTCACTTGAGATCTTTTCCTGTAACATATAATTACTCAGTAATACTTTTACATTTCCTGTCAACTTAACATCTTTTAATACAAAACACAGTGGACCACCGGTGGGCCGCCTCGACGCCCCGACCACCGGGCTTAGTAAGTTTTCTGGGGGAAACCCTGGATAAAATCAATTTATCGTCCAGCCCTAGTATGAACTCCTCCAACTTCCTGGTGCTTTAAAAACTTAAATCTAGATAATTACCAGGGAATGCTTGGTGTTGCATTCACAGGCTAACATCAAGCAGCACAGTTTCCACAAAGTGAGAAAGCAGTAGGCTTCTGAAGGCGTTACCTTGGAGAAATATCCGACTAGGTGACATCCTGTGTTGTCGGCTTCCGTCATGACATAGAAGAGGAATGGCTCCACGTCGTAGTACAGCGTCTTGTGGTCCAGGAAGAGTTTCGCTAGCAGACACAAGTTCTGACAGTAAATCTGTGAGTGGAGAGAAGACAATGGGTTGATGAAACCGATTCGTTTTGCCTGACAACGGTTAATGAAAGGGATTACAGATGTAAAGCTTTGCCTTGTTCTTCTTTCCGTCCACCTCAAAGACAGAGATGTTCCCCTTTCTGTAGATCTCGTCGCCTGGTGGATGCTTCCACACACACTTGGCCTTGAACAGCAAAAACAACTTCAGGTTAGCATTTTTTTTTTTCAAAACCAACCAAAATTTTAACTCAAACATTGAGCAGTAGGGGTGCCCTACCATGTGCCTGCGCAGAATGGTCTGGCTCTTCATATACTTGAGGCAGAACTCGCACATGAAGAGCCTCCCCAGGCGGGCGTACTCCTCGGGGTACGGCGAGTGGTACCAGGTGTCCAGCTCGAAGCGGCCAAACACAATGGTTTTGATCATGTTGCTGCCCTCCGACACCTGGCCGGCCAGACGGAGCTTCTCCTGCGCAGCCGAGTCGGGACAGACGGGCAGGCGGGGCAAACGGGACAGGAGGCGGCGGAGAGGAGACGGGGAGGAAAGGCGGGAACAAAGATTCAATTATTGAAGGGAAGACAAAGGAACCGCCTTAGTGGAGGGAACCGGCCAAGAAAATTAAAGGTGCAGGAAGAAAAAGTCAGATGGGGAAGTAACGCTATAAGCTTCACTTGGACAGATGAAACTGGACTGGAAAAAAAAACATCTTATCAAGTATTTTGTCTAGTTTCTAGTGAACATTCTTGAATATCATTGTCACTACCATGTACATTCTAATGCTTTTATAATTTTATATATATATATATATATATATATATATATATATATATATATATATATATATATATATATATATATATATATATTTATATATATACACATTGTTTGTTGCTGTGGTTTCTCGGTTTTCTTTTCTCTCTTTCTGCAGGTTTAGAGGCAGACTTCAAGAGTCTTGACTTGTGTTCCCTCTGTGCTTCTTTCTCTACTCTTTACTCTTTTCCATTCAAACTTTTTCCCATCTTTCTCCCTTTCCTTTTCTCTCTGTGTCCATTAAATTTGGAATAAACCCAAAGAAATTTCTAATAAAGTTTCTTCCATATGTCAAGGGGAGCATCATGGCAAAAGGAGTAATCCTGGGCTTGTGAAAGTAAATCCGTTGGGCCTCACCTTGACACACTGCCAGACAGGACATGTTTAAAAACATATATTAAAAATTACAAGCTTCATTTAGGCCTCTCACAATAAATGTTGCTGGACCATAAGCTGTCCCTGTTATTATTGAGATAATCGATAATATTGTTGTTTTGTCAAGTTATATATTTGTGATGACATAATAATGCAAGTTTGCTCTCTCAAAAAACAGTAACTTTAAATTTTGCATAGAACACTTTGAACTGGAAGATTTGTTTAATATCCAAATTAAAACACGACAACCAAAAAGCAATAAATAAAACAAAAATAAAAACCACGCACAACTGAAGCAGCAAATAAAATGGGTTATGATGTTTCTGTAAACAACATTGCCTGTCAAGAAATATTAATCATCAGAACGGAAATGATCAAGTTCATTTTAATTTATCATGTTATTAATTGGTTAATTACTTACTGTAACAGGCACAGTTCTACAAAATGTCTTTCCAATGTTATAAATGAACAAATAAAGCTGTTAGTAGAACTAGACTTTTTTAAATTAATATTCAAGAATTATTGACTTAAAACATATTTCTTACAGAAAAATTCCTATTTCAAGTGTACGAAGATATTTGCACTAGAAACTAGGCAAGAAATACTCGGGTAAGATTTTGTGTTTTTGAAGTGAATTCACTGGGTAATTACTGTATTTCATTATCAGCTAACATCTGAAGTATCAGAAATGAACATGGAATGACATGAAGGGATCGTCCAAACTACCAAATCTATCTGAGACTCCTGCTGTGGCTGCAGAGGAAGGTTTTCAGACTGAAAAAGAGAAGAAGAGAAGTAAGGTAGGAAAAAGGGAGAAGCGGGGGAGGTTAACAACAAAAACAACCAAAAAAACAGAAGGAAGGAAAAGTGGAAGGGTGGGAGGTGATGATGAGTTTTCTCTCTTACAAGGTCGTCCGAGGCACGTGCCTGCGCTTTCCTGAACAGCTCAAGGTCATAGTCGCTGGTGATGTTCTCCAGCAGCGGCTCCCGGCTCGTCCCGTGGCTCTGTCGGTGTTCCTGGGAACAAGTGGGGAAAAATAACGAGAAAAGTGGGATTTTTATAACGTGGAGAAGATTCGGTCTGACGTCTCTTCTCTGCTTACTGTATATTTCTCCTTCTGCTCCTTATTGAGGCCAGAGTTCCTCTTCCGCCTCAGCTCTGTCACCTTATCTTTGTAGCGCTGCTGTCCCTCTGTGGGGGCCTGGAACAAACACAGTTGGTATGAACGAAAAGCTGATTTGGGCCTTTGCAGATGAAGATTACGGGCTGACTAGAAGTATCATGTAAATAGAAAGGTTGCTTAAATTCACACCTTCACACCTGCCAAAATGTTAGCTAGATGCGGACTATGTTTTCATAAACTGATTACTTATAGCTTATTCACTGTTTCTACCAGTTACTCAAAATTATACCACAATAAGTATTCTGGTACTATGTCTTTATTCTCATACAACTGCAACTTTATTCTAGTAATATTACAACTTTATTTTCGTACTACGACTTTATTTTCATATTATAATGACTTTGTTCTCATAATATTACTACTGTTCTGGTTTTACTACAACTTTATACTTGTATAACTACGATTGGATGCTCAGTGATTTCTGACAGTGCAAGGAAGAGTTCTGGATTCAGGAAATGTTTTTGTTGTATTTTCAATTGGAAACTCAGAAACTCTCACCTAGAAGTACCAATAAAATGCAGCACAAGTAAAAAAATTAAAATATCAGAATTGTAATTTTCTGACCAACTTAGATGCAGTACAATTTTGATTAATTGATTGTTACCTCACTAACAGACAATTACTGGTACCAAAGTATGCCAAGGTTTCAAGAAGTTGTGGTTTTAAAACAGCAAAAATCTTAAATTGTGTTTTTATGTTTAAATATAGACAGCTGCGGCGTTAAAGATAAAGGAGGGACATCCATTACTCCAGGTTTTAACACCACACTTGGCAAGCTGTTTTAAACAAATCAATAAAAAAAAACTAATTAAAAATGCAATGATAATTTTACACAAGGTTATATTAAAAGAATAGAAAAAGACTTCAAATTAAATAAAAAGAACTTGTTTGTTTTTTCTTTGTTTATTCCAATCTCATAATGTCCTTTCAGACTTTTAGAATGACCTGCCTTATCAAATCAAGTAAACAGGTGCATCAGACGTGGATTTTACTGAGAACCAAATGACAGTAACCCGTCATCGCTCTGACCCTGCCACCCTGACGACCAGCGGTGCGATCTCAGCTGTTCCTACCTCAAAAGCAACACATGAGTCAGGAGGGACAAAACCTGTGTGTGTGTGTGTGTGTTTGCTTTCCAGCACATTACCTGGTGCCTTGTGGAGTGTCTGTTCTCATCCTGCCGGTGCGTCAGCGTCCTTTCTTCAGACTGCTTGTCGCGTGTCGTTGCCTTGCCCTGTCAAACAAATCAACACTGTCTGGAGCCCCGTAGCAAAAACACAACAGCAGCCTCCTCCATGTTTCTACAGCATGCCAATTTCTATTAGTTTCTCTTGCTTTTTTCACATTCATTCACCGAACACTTGGTGTGATGGCAGATCAGAGGACCAGTTCAACCATCAACATGTTTCCTCAGTAACGAGGAGATCGGTTGTCAGATTTATGTTTTATGTCAGATTTATGCTTGTGGATCGCAAACATTAATCCACAAACAATGTAATGTAGAAGTTTGTGGTTGTATCATAAAAGGTTAAAAAGTTCCAGGGTGTGAAAACTTTTGCAAGGCAACATATACAGCCATGTGTAAATGTATGGCTTTGGGTACTTTCCAGCCATTCCAGCTTTGTGTGACTTTTTTGTCATAGTTAAACACAATTTATCTGAAATCCTTGCAGATTTTTTATTGAATGTATGTGCCGTCTACTTGTATATCTTTATATAGAGGACCACATTCACCGTTTTTACCCACAGAAGGAGGTCTTCCTTGATAAATGAGAACTTTTTCCTGATTCTCATATTTTTCCACTTCTACTGTGGTCTACAAGTTAGACCACAGTAGAAGTGGTCTAACTTCTACTGTGTAGAAACATAACCAAATTATGTTTTGGTTAAGGTTAGAAATAGACTAACACTAGTTATGAAAAATGTCTGGGTTAGGCATAAATACAGTTACTACAATGAATGGAAGACAATACAAAGTCCTCAATTTTATTGAAGTTCGCAGATGTGTGTGTGTGTCTTCTTGTATTTGATACATTGTGAGGACCATTGTCCTAACACATCAGTTTTGGGGACTGACTGCTGCTCTTGGGGCCCAAACAAGAGCCCCAGAAGAAGTGGTGCTGTTTTTGGGTTAGAGGTTAGGTTTTGGACTAATGTGTGAATTGAGTTTATATTTAGGTATAGGGTTATGCAGGTTATGTTTAGGGTAAAGGTCAGGGCTAGACTATAGAAATGAAAAAAAAATAAATAAATAAAATAAATAAATAAATAAATAAATAAATAATAGAACAAATTCCAAAGTCCTTGTGATAGAAAGGACTTTGGATCTTTAAGGTCTTTATGTGTATTTGCCTAGCTCTTTGGGACCATTTAAGACATTTTACTAACCTTTTGAAGACTGATGGGCCTTAGGGGGACCAAAGCCCAGTCCTGATACAGTAGACCCCTTTGTTTACATTTAGCAGTTAGCTTTAGAGTTGAGGTGTGAATTAGGTTTTGGTTAAGGTTAGAGTTAGGAAAAGACTAGTATTGTCAGGGTTAGGGAAAATGTCTGGTTTAGGCTTAACTACAGTAAATAAAATGAATGCAAGTCAATACAAAGCCCTAGTATGTATGGAATACAAACATGTGCATCTGTGTGCAGTGCGTGTGTGTGTGTGTACCTTGCATTCATCAGCAGAGAGGTTGTGGTATAGTGGGCAGCCTGATATGGAGAAATGTCTCTCATGTCTTCCTGTTAGATGACCTGGGAGAAAAACAGGACGGGTGAGAACAAGAGGAAGATGAGAGGATGTTTGCAGATGAAAGGCAGTAAATTTAAAGCAGTATGACATTTGATGGGGGGGGGCGGCAGGGAATCTGTGTGGCGTTTAGGTCCTCTCACCGAGTGAGTTGCATCCTGGGGTCGGACACTTCATGTTAAAATTGTAGCTTTCGTGGAATCGTCGTCGTTTGGGTCGATGGGAGAGGTCGTGGGCGGCGGCCTCTTTGAGCGACAGCTCTTTCGCCAGTCTCTCGTCCTCCTCTTGTGAAACGACAATATTGTTGTTAGAAGACACGTGGTCATTGCTCGGACTGGAAACGTCAATATCTGACTCCGAGGATGGGGCGTTGCCTGTTGGGGTCCGCGGGGGCGTCTCGTCCTGGTCCACTCCTTGTTTTGCGTCTGCTGGGCGAGTTGAGAAAGATTAAAAATCCTAAACTCTAACGTCAATTTATTTGAAAAGAAAGCATCTTTACAGCCCTTTACTCCCTCTGATTTATTTTAAGGGGGGAATCTCTGCAGGTCACATATGTCCACACATACAGATGCAATTAACAGCCTTCAGCAGTGGCAGCACTCAGATAAATTCAATAGTGAAGAATGATGTTACTGCTGCTGAAGATCGGGCAGCTGTGAGACCCAGGCTGCCAAATGAAAGCACATATTTCAACCTGTTCCTTTTCTGCTTCTATTTTTTTTTCTTTTAGGCTTCAGTTAACACAGAAGGTGTAGTTGTGTGTGTGACCAGCATGTTAGATAAGTAGCAGCAGCAACTCTGAATACGGTTGTGAAGAAAAATAGCACATAAACAGATTTTTCTGTTCTCTTTTATCTTTCTATTGCAACCAAAGTCCTTTGTCTTTAAGTTAACATATAGTTTTATATTTTAGGGGACAATGCCTCAAGAAAATTGGGTTGTGAATAGAACTGGTCAATTTCCATGTCAACTAGTCCGATCAAAAAACCATGGCTATGTTTCCATCCAATTTCTAAGTGAATTTTGAGTGAATTTTTAAAATGTCGCAAAAAAAAAAGAGAGAGAGAAAATGTGAATTAGCTGTGTTTCTATCAATGTGTTTGGAGCGAATCAACTAGGCTCTGCAAATGTCAGATGTTGACATTATGCTTGGCTGTGAAAAACAGGAAGTAGAAGTTACAAACTAGTACGGACCACATGTCTCGGAAAAATGGAGAGAAGTTTTCAGGAATGTGTTCTCCGGCAAGTTGTAATTGTTCTGTAATGTCAACTAGTACTGGCGAATTTACATGCTGTCTGGAGACGTAGAGAAAGAAATGCAATTGTCACGCATGTCGACAACGGAAACATCCGATCAGTCATGCAAAGGAAAAGTTTCAGCACTTACTGTCAAATGTGTTCCTGTCTTCCCTTTAGCGCATTTTTTTTTTTAAAACTAAAAGCCAACTCAAGCAAGCGTCAAAACTTTTTTGGAGGAAGTTATTTCTAATTTTGCCGTTTCCATCAATCTTTTCTAATGTGATACTTCAAAATGTGCATTAGAAAAATGTTGAACAGTGAACACACCATTCTTAATCGCTACAACATTGTGCCAAACACAACCACATTTAACTCAGGCACAAGGTCCAAAGTGTAGAAGTTGCTACTGAGGGAAGAAGACTCAAAGTTGGCAAATTTCAACTCCAGTAAGATGTTACTTCATACATGTTGAGATATCACTACTTGTCTGTTCAGGCTGTCATTTAAAAAGAGAACAACAGAACTAAAAGTATAACAGCAAAGTGGCTGTGTTAAATCCTGCCAAGCTTCCAGGTTTCATCTGTGGAATATTCTGGATTTGGAAATAAGTAGTAATCTCATTGGAGTTTTAGAGTCTCCAGAGAACATACACAGAAATGTCTGTTAATACTTAGTAAAGCTGACCATGCTAATTTAAAATATAAGATGCTAAAGACAGCTAAAAATGTCATCTCTGCAGTAATTCCTAAATATAGTAGACTTAGGAATGCACTGATATGAAAATTTAGATCAATATTGCTAGCTGATCTTAATACTGCTGGTTCTGTCCCAAATCGATATCGTATTATTTTTAATTTTGTCATTTTCATCAACCTTTTCTAATGCGAAACTTTAATATGCACTTTAAGAAAAAACTATTGCGAGTCGGTTTAAACCTTTATCATCAGGGGAAAGGTTTCCTCAAAATAAAATCAGGGATGAGATTCATCTCCATCTCCAGTCTTAACGCGCAACTGGTAAACAGATCCATTAGATTTTCAAAATAGATATTTTATTTATGCAGAACATTTCCACAATGTAAAACCCCACCTGCTTTGCATCTGCAAGAGACACCATTCAGTGACCGTAATTAAAGAGCGGACTCGGGAAATCTGACGTAACAGTTTCTAACAATAGATTTCACACTGAGGCAAAGCAGGAAGCTGGATGTCAACTTGATAAGTCAAACGAGGTTTGCTGGCTCTAGCTGCAGGTTCATATGTAAAAGGCTGGGGTTCAAGATAGATGGTGAATACATAACAGGAAAGGCTGCGAGTATCATGGCACAAAGAAAAGTTATTATGATTATTGATCATCAGTGTGGCCACTTTTAGGAAAGCGGGAGTTTTGACAATGTCGATGTGGAAAGAAAGAAGCAACGGTCTTGGGAAGATAACTGCTGCTGATCCATCTGTTATAATGCTATGTCTATATTCAAATATGTTGAGCTTATAATTCTACAGTGAAAAAGGAAAACATCTTGGTAAAGTCCAGAGCTCAACTTAACTGAAATATTTTGGAAGAAATATTAAGAGATGCAAATAAATGACCTAATATATTATGGGTTTTTTTTCCCATTAGAGGTTATATTTGTTTAATGTTTTAGCTTGATATGAATCAGATCTTTTTATTTTGTCCTGGTAAATAAGACGTCAAAAGTAAAAGGATGATCTTTTTGTAACACTTGTATGGATGTGCCTTCACCTCGTTGTGAGTAAAGTTTGAGAACAGCTGCAGGTTTCAGGACGGTTTGTCACCGATTCCTTTGACAAGTCTCCAATTTTAATGCAACACTTATTACTCCCTTTTCTAACCAGGAACAGACTGACTTCATATGTCTTATATCAACTCACCTGCATCATAAGAAAGAAAGAAAAAAATAAGAAACATACAGATCCTCCGCCTCTTGTTCTCCCTTCTTGCCTGTATAAGCCACTTCCTAAAATATCCCCTAACGCTGCTGCTTTGCTTCACACCTTCATCTCTTTTCCATGCCTCTAACTCAGATCTCATCTTTATCTTTTTATAAGACAGCAAGGAAGAACTGCAGCTCACCATTGGCTTCTGTGTCTGAGCCAGACGACCTGCTCTGACGCAAATGGTATCTTTTGGCTTTGGGGTTTGCTGCCCCCTGCTGGCTACGTGTGATCCTGCGTCCAGAGGAGAAGACGGAGGCAGGTGCTGCTGTTGCTGCTGCTGGGGCCGACTCCGCTGCGGAATCAGGGCCCTCATCGTGAGCGGCAGCAGCCGGGGAGCCGCTGCGTAATGAGCTGGAGTTATCTAGAAGGAAGAAGGAAATGCCACTTTTCTGAGTCGAACTTTAAATCACTAACATGATGTTTTATCAATTCAAATCTCAGAAGTGGATGCAGCTAAACAGAAGACAACCCTGGAAGGAAAGCTGTTCAAGAACGGTTCAGTCACAGCCTTACGACGGCATAGTATGGCCATTGTAGATGGGAAGAACAGGAGGTCAACCAAAAGATTTTATAACAATTCAATAATAAAATTGTAGGTTAATCTCAGAAATTTTCTAAAAAAAAAAGAATAGAAAAAAAAACTGTATGTATGAATTTCAAAGCAAAAATTTTATAGAAAAACCCCCTCAAATTTTTATTTTTTTGGCTCAAGTGGCCTTTATTTGATAGTTAATTGACAGGAAAGTGGGTAATGAGAGAAGGGGGAAGACATGCAGCAAAGGTCAACAAGGCCGGGAATCGAACCTGCAATAGCTGCGTCGAGGACTAAGGCCTCCATATGTGGGTTGCGCTTAACCCCTGCGCCACCACAGCACACCCAAAAAACCCTCAAATTTTAAGACTAATCTCAAATATTTTCTAGAATAACAATGGAAATGTCTGAGTTTCAAATGTCAAAGCTTTTCAACTTTGGAATATTTTCATAGTTTCTTTATTACATTAAATTGTTACAATGTTATTTTCTAAATTAACTTGCTGTGATCATCCGGATTGTATTTCAACTAAAAAGTCCAGCTTCTAATATAAGTTCTGTTATAATGTCAACTTAAAGAACAATTTTGAAATATACGTAATAAAGCATACATAGTAAATACTGACATTTCTTTTTTTTAAAAAAAAAGAAAGTCAAAAACTAATCTCTGAATTCCTTTGAGAAGTAGAGGACTTTATTAATTCATAATAAAATGTTCTCAGCTATATACTGATGTACAGATCCCATTAGCAGTTAGGCTAAGTACTGATGTACTGTTGTCTGTTTCTCAATAAATTATTGAAATAATTTTATTGTTCAGCTTTACTAACAACTGAAAATGGTAAAATTCTAACCAAAAAATAATTGTAGATAGTTTCCTGGCAAAATTCTGAAGGTTTCTGTGACCTTTATTCAACCGTGTCTGCCTGTGGCCGGCACTCGATCCGCAGACAACTGGCTCTGTAGCCAAGTTGCACTGATGCCAATATATTTTTAAAATGGTCAATTTTTGTTATATTATGGCATTTTACATATCTTTAAGAAGACAAATAAAAGTCAAAATCTGAGGTTTCATAACATAAGTTTTGTTTTTTTTAAAGACTTATACATCATTTTTCCAATCGGAAAATACGTAGATAAAAATTGGGCCCTAAAATATTGCTAACAACCCTGAAAAAATGGGCAAAGTTTTAAGAAAGAAAAACTTTCCCTTTTAACCACCAATTTGTTAAAAAAAGACTCATTTTATGGCCTTGTTTACGTATTTAACAGTGGTAGGAACAGTTTACCTTGTGAGCTCTGGCTGAGGCGCAGGGATGCGCGAGTCAGGCGCGTACTGCTGCGCCGACGCGCCCTTACTGCAGCTTTGACGTGTTCGAGGTCGGCAGAAAAATCAGAGTCCTCTGTTCCATCCGAGCTGCTTCCTGCCGTTCTCTGAGAAACCAGAAACAGTCAGCAAATTATCTCTTTGTTTGTTTATATCAAAAACAGTATGTGTATATACTGTATATATAATATGTATATATATAGAATTTTTTTCCCCTGCCTGCTTCTTTTTACCAGTGATTTATTCAGCAGAGATCCCATGTTGGACGGGAAACATCACCCCTTCTATTTATCACCTTCAGCTCATCATCTCCTGTTGGAACTTTGTCAAGAAATCCTTGAAATAAGCCTTTGTATTGAGCAAAATCCAGGTTTTATTCCTGTGCCACAAAAGTATGCGTGCCGCCTGAATTATCACTGTTAAGCACCTTTTGCTTTCCAATTATTAATTAAATAGCAGTACAGTATGACAGATAAAACAGTCAACAGATTGTTTTAATGACAAAAAATATATTTTTATAGTGAAAATTATTATAAAATAGATACATTACCAATTCTTTGTAAAACAGAAAAGTTTGGAGTGAGCACTCCCACTTTTCACAAAGATGAGTTCCAATTACATCTAAGTATTTTTTTGGTTTGCTTTATATACATATTTCTCTACTTCATATTTGAAAATGAATAAATACCTACAATAAACGACAACTCAAACACTACTAAAAAATTGTAGAAAGAAAGAAAAAAGAGAGTGAGTATTGTATACATACTAAGGATGTGCTTAGTATGTATACAAATCCTTAGAGCCACAAGCATAAAACTTATTTATAATTCTCTATAAATAGATCAATAAGTAAAAGTTTTTTTGTCCCCCATGGTTACTTGTGAACCAAGATAAGCTTACAGTAACTGCGATAGGCTTAACTAGAACTGCCCCCCTCCATTAAAACTGCCTGGGGCCTCATCCAAGATTGGACCGCAGCTGCCCACTTTAAATATTAATACATGTAGCGAATAATGTACCACAGAGAAATTCAACTGCAGCAATTAAGGAGACACCTCACGGAACTATGGAGGCTATTAAATATAAAACTGTCATCGATTATATACCAAAGGTTAATAAATTATACTAGAACTATAAACTGTAAGGATACACTGACATCAGCGGACGTACAGGTAACAGTAAACATTTGCATTTGTAGTAGAGAAATAAACTGCTTTCGTGCGTTTGCCTTATCCTCCAAAAAATGTTCCAAGACGCGACATCCTGGTTGAACCGTCTGATCCAGACGTAAATATGAGTAACTGCTTTGGCAGCATGGCCGCATATTTGACAACTTCACAACAAGAGGGCCGTGCATCCTATTTGCATTTCACCAATTAAGTTAGAGGTGAGGCGGGACTTGCGCAAGTCCAACCAATTAACGCAGCCGTAGTTCAAACTCCGTCCAATCGGAGCGTTGTTTTGGTGTAGAGCGTTCTACCCTGTGGAAACCAAAAAACAACCCGTCCTCATCCGTTTGCTAGTGACTGTTACAAGCCGTTAAACTCCGATCTGTCCATAAACACGGCAAATTGGAGGAAGAGCCAACCTAAACTAGTAATCAAAGAGTAATAAGACGTCTAAGAAACAACAATAATTTCTTGCAACTACGCTGTAAATGTGAGCTAGCTTAGCTTAATAGCTCTAGCACAAACATAACTCTTATTGGAGTGAGTTAATAAAAACATGCGCAGTTTGTTAACACCTTGAAGAAAAACATTCAAGCGCCTCAGCGGCGTTCGTTTTCCAGCCTCAGTTTCATTTCCACGGCTAACATTAGCCATGACGTTATACTGCACTGCCACAGCCTCTAACGTCTTCTCTCACCTTTCTCCGTGGCATATCTTCAGCTGTGGAAGTATCTTATCCTTTACGTTGGGGGAAAGTATTCAAGCTTCCATATAAGCTGCAAAAGAGAAACGCCACCAAAGCATAACATGGACCAACTCGGCTGGAAGAAGCGCACAAATTTCCCCGCACTTCCTTGAGTGCGGAGCAAGTTCGGTACGTTGACAAAATAACTCCGCCAGAAGATGCCACACCACTGAACTTAAAAAATCGTTTAGATGTTTTAATATTTTCTAACAAAATATAAATGGATTAGAATAAAAATGTTTTTTTGAAATAATAATTATGTATGTCATAAAGCGTTAATACTTTTGTTTTGCATCTCGACCACAACACCGGTGTCGCGTTATGATTCGTCTCCCCCGCAAGTTGCGCCTCTACACGATATTTTACGGCTTCGTTTTTATCGCGAGGGTGCACTTAATGAACTCCTACATGAGACTACTTGAAATAAATAACTCAAGAAATTAACACCAAGGTCTTTTCAGCACTTTATAAATAACATCCTATCCCATTTTAAATAAATTTAACTGCTTTACATTGGTTTTATTAAATTGTCATTTTCTCTCTCTTTTTAAACCAAACAAATAATTAAAATAAAATTATTATAATTACATGTGAATTTTTTCCGACATGACGTTATTTTTTTGAGTCAATTTCCTAAATGTTCTTAAATGTACCATGGCTTGACCATAAAAATCTACATATAAGCGCAATGATGTGATTCCGTCATGTTACCGAACACATTTTGGTGGTGGAGCATGAACACCGGAAGTAAGTAGGAGTGAACCCTCCGCGGTGGATGTAGAGTAATAGGTCGGTGGTCTTGTTTTATAATCTCCGATTCTTGCTCTATAGTTAAGCCCCAAACGGAGACGGCGTGGTTTCCCTTTTATTCTGAGTTCTAACTATTATGGCTGATAGCACCAACCCGACGGTGTACGAGATTTTTCAAAGCATGGAGCAAGGACCAGCTACAGCTACTAGCATTCCCACTGCTCAGGTGAGTTTTCCAGTTTAATTTACTGCGGCTAACGTAATGAATTCGCTGTAGTTGCATTAAAAAGCCAATATGTGGCTGCATATACATGTATATACAGCAGTGGTGCAGGGCCAGTGCAGCCCTGTTTGATCCATGTGAAGCTCATTAACTGTTAGCTGACTGTAATTCACAAGGCAAACGTGACTTCTATCACTGGACAGGAACAACGTCAAATGAAGGAGCTACGAAATATCTATAACATACGCAATTGTAATTATTGTGTATTCTCGGAGCCTTAAAAAATAGCCTAGAAAACAGAAACAAACTCTGGTAACTTCTTCTAATCGGGTTTAAAAAGAATATTTTATCCAGTTATGTTTTACGTGCAATGAAAAGCTACTATTGAATATTACTGTTTGGTAAAAACATTTTGTAGAAACATGAACATGATTCGCAAATACTGTATTATTTATGTAAATCTACTTGGCCCACATGAGCTGAGTTCCATAAATATTTTGGGATTTTTATGAATTTAAAGGGTACTCACATACGATAACTTCATAGTATGAAGTTATCGTAAATATTTTGGACACAACATGGAGCTGCTGGCCAGGGAACATATTAATTATTATCATCATTGGTTCATTCTCAGTGATACACAGGACTACCTATTAATTCATTGGTAATTTTTTTTTCTTGAATGGATAGGGCACCAACTCTGCCTCCAGGCCAGGGCTCCAGGTTCTTCCAGATCTGGCCCTGGTTTCGTTCCATTCTGTCATACAGAACGGTTTTATAACTGGAGAAAACTGAAGACTTTCTATAACGTCTATGACTTTAAACATCCTAAAAAGTTAACCTGTTGCATTCAGAGGCTGCTTACTAAAACATATTTCTCACTTTTATTACGCAGTTTGTGCATTCTGAGGTTGTAATTTATTTAATGTTGGGGTGTTTTTGGCTCCGTGTTATGTGGGAAGAACACAAAACTACAAAAAAAAGTGCAGATCAAGGTTGAGCTCTGGACTTTGATGTCTGGTTTGATGTCTGTCAATCATTGCCATATTCCATCCAGCCTGACCAGTCCCTGTCAAACAGAGGAGGCATCCTCGTCACCAATAAACTGAGAGCCTCAGTTCGAGTCATTCTTGCCCCCATTGGCCCATCAGAGCTTTTAAAGAATGCAGTGTGAGGCAGATTTGTTGGTATCATTAGCAAAGATGTGTAAAAAGCCATAAAATAAAATCAGAATAATCTCCACTGACTGCTTTTTTTTTTTTTTTTAAGAAATTCAACTTTTTGGAGAGAAAAATCCCACAATATTAAATCATGCTTGTGTACGTACCGCTCGACTTGCTGATAGTGAAGAAACAACTTGCAGTTACATGCAGCTGCTTATTGACAGCAATGCTAACTAGCCTTAGCATCAATGAGTGATTGACAGCAGTAAGACCCCGCCTCCCTGGCTCTGATTGGTTGTTTCTGACTGAACTTCAAAAAAAATTCACAGATCATTTGTCTGATGTTATACACTAATGGCATAGTGACAGTTTCTAACAAATATGTAAAATTAGCATATTATTCATATTGTTTAAGGATTAATTTCTGTCCTTGTTCTCCATCAGGCCTGGTTGGACCGTCACTCCCGTTCTCTGGGTTTCTTCATGGATGGGAAGTTCATCCTGCCAGCAGACAGACGGAGCCTCTCCCTGACTGATTCCAAAGGTGACAGCTGCGTCCGTGTCAGCTGATGACGTTTGATCAGAAATATAATTTCATGTTTCATCCCGTTTCCCCAGGCGGTGTTGTGTGCAGCACGGTGTGCGCTGAGGACGCTGATGTTTCCCAGTGTGCTTCTTCTGCTGCCGCCGGCTGGAAGTCCTGGAGCAGCCTGAGCTGCTCCCAGAGAGCCAAGGCCCTGCTGAGGTCCGACTCGCACACGCTGAACCCAGACCGCTCTGCCGGGCTTTGTTTGAGCCACTAACCTGGATGCTTCATGTCCGCCCCGAACAGGTTGGTGGGCGTCCTCGGGCTACACGGTCAGTGTGTGTCGGAGCTGTGTGCGCTGTGTGAGGCGTCCTGCTCACCCGCCGCCCTGGTCAGGCTGCTGCAGTACTACAGCAGCTGGGCTCAGCTCAGAGACACGCTCATACCCGGCTGGACGCCTGTCGGTGAGAAATCAGCGATGCTGTGTTATTTTAGTTTTATTTTATTTTCAAGGTTTTTGAATTAATTTGATTATTTCTCTTCCAGGCGTGGTTGTAGTCGTCTCTTCTCATGACTGCTCTCTCTATTCCCTCATGCTCAAAGTCCTGCCAGCGCTGGCCATGGGTAAAACACACACATCTGGATCTCGGATACAGTTTTTGTTTTGACGTCTAAACCTTTAAAATAGTCACAAACATTCCACACATAGCTGTGTTTTTTTTTATGAAAACAAATATCTATGCCACATCGTTTAAAACAATATCATGCCAAACCTATAGGTGGCAGTGTAGCACAAAGCTAAGACCTATATCAGCCAGTCAGATTGCTTCAAAACATCCACGACTTCCTGTTAGCAATTAAACATGGCACCAAAAGCTTAATTTGTGTGGACAGGTTGAGCTCATTTTAAATAGTGTATTAGAATATAACGTTAAATTAAAAAAAAAACAAGAAAATGTCCATTTTGAATCATCAATGTATGGACATAGTGGTGCATTATTTGTCACAGACTGTAATGCGAATGGCACCAAATCTCCATTTTCCCATGTATACACGCAAATCTTGACTTTGGAAGAAATTTTTCTAATCAGTTTCAGTGAAATTAAACAGTTTTCGTGTGGACATAAAATGTATTTGTTTTCCCAGATGTCCGGCTACGTGTGGACGAAGACTAAGATGTTTTCAGTGTGCCTTGAAAAGCTTTAATGACCCTTGAACTTGACCACAAGCTTTAAAATAGTCTTAAAGTAATGTTCTGTGACTGGAGGGGTTGAGGCTACCAGTAGCTAGCTGCTAAAATGTCATTGCTACCTAGCTTTTTTTTTTTTTTTTTTTTTGCATTTGCCATTTGTAATTTCAAATTTATCGCCAATTGGCTGGACAAAGTTTACACATTTGTGTGGAGATGTAGGTCTTAATATCTATTCATAATGTTTTAAAAAGTCTTAAATTCTTGTATCTTGAAGATTAAGGCCTTAAAATGTCTCAAATTCATTTTAAGAAGTAAGTCGGCCTTAAACATGGGATTCTGTTTCCAGTTTTAATTTTTAAGCATAAAAAAATGTATGTTGATCTTTCCCATACAATTCTAGTGAAACATTGAAACTTGCGTTTAGAACATTTTTACACAATGTAAGATACTTAAAGGGGTGTGAACACTTTCAGCAGGTTGTACCAGCGCTCTCTGTTTGTTCCAGGAAACTCTGTGATTGTCGTTCCCGGTCGGAGCGCCGCCCCTCCAACGCTCCTCTTAGCGCAGCTCTTTACCGGAGCAGGGCTTCCTGCTGGGGTACTTAACATCCTGACAGGAAGTGATGTCACGTTGGGCGCCAAAGTGTCCCGGAATCCCGACGTGAGATTGATCGCTTACTGTGGCAACAAGCAGGTGTGTTACATGTCTGATGGTAGAATTAGCATCCGTTTGTTGAATTATTTTTACATCTGACCTTTCACCCCGCTCCCTCTCAGGACGGGCTGGCTCTGTGTAAGGCCTCAGCAGGGATGGGCGTCCCCGTGTCCGTCTCCTCATGCGTTGGTGCCACCTGCCCCTTTATCATCTTTGAGTCAGCTGACATCGACAGCGCCGTGGATGAAGTCATACAGATTGCTTTCAAGAAGAAGGAGGTGGGAGAAGAAGCAGCTGCAGCTTGTCTCTTGTTTTCTGTAATTCCACCAAAGTGTTGAGTTGTAAACTTTTCTCTGTGCCTTCAGGTCCACTGGGTGCTGTGTGTTCAGGAGAGTGTGTCGGACAGCGTTGTGGCCCGGCTAAAGCTGCGCATGGCGAACATAAAGAGTGTACCTCTGAGCAGCGACGCAGACAGGGTCCTGGTGGATGCTGCAGTACAGGAGGCTCTGCAGCAGGGGGCGACGGTTAGTTTCAAACCCTCAGGAAGCTACGAATGCTTAAAAATGTAATGCTGGATTCCAGTTGTAGTCGAAACTATGACAAAGTCAACTGAAAAGCCAAATCGCATCCCCCACTGGGAAAATGGGATGACCTTCAACTACCAGCAGTTACAACTTATAAGACTGACTTCACGTTTCAAAATGGCCACTCCTCGCATCAGTGGTAGTAAGATGTGGTGGAAGTACTTTTGTTTTACAAGACACACATATAAAGATGCTTCTTAAATTAATGTTACATTCAAGCAACTGAACATATAATCCAAACAAATTAAAATGGAAAGTACAGCTTAAAACGATGTTTTCAAACAGTGTTTATGGGTGTCACCATGTTGAAATTCTGACTTTTAACCAGACGCCTTCACCTGGAGTCAAACCCAGCTCTGAATTCCCATTTCCCAGGTGACTGGAACGCATCAAAATGAACCCCTGTGTGAAAGCAAAACCCTGCCTCCAGACCAGTTCCACCAAAGTGGGTGGAGCCAGGAGACACTAAGGGGCGTGGCCAATTGTTGGGTTGACGAGAAATCCCTGTGGCCAACTTATCCACTGTCTCTCTATATGTAGTCACTTTTCAGACCCCAATAAGAATTTTTTTTTTTTTTTTTTTTCCCAGAAAAAGCGACTATCAACAATGTGACTTGTGACTTTTTTCTTTGTTACCTGAGACTTTTATGGCAACAACATGTGAAAGCACCAGATGGTTTTCTAGTCAAACACCTGCCTCTGTGATGTAAACATCAACCAAGCTTTACTGTTTGCAACCAATAGGGTGTCTTTCTGGGTGTCTTTAATCTGGATATTTTAATTTGGTTTTTATCTTTTTATAAACAAAGTTATTAGAAATAAGTGCCCTTATTAAAATTCCACTGCAGTAGGCACCCTTTAGCCCAGGGGTCCCCAAACTACGGCCCGCGGGCCGGATCCGGCCCGCCTCCACATTTGGTCCGGCCCCCTGAACAATACCAGAGAGCATTCAGATTTTTTTTCATTCATTGTATTTTCTGGTTTATATGTGGATTTTTCTTCAACCACCAGGGGGCTCTTTAGCAGGAAATGTGTCCTGTAAACTGTGGGGCGCATTGCTGCCATCTGTTGGACTTTTAGGGAACTGCTTGACTTTTATGTTATTTAATCAGTTCGGTTGTTTGCTAACGGTAGAGCAGATGAACACGTGACTGTTATGAACGCCGCATTCCAGGTTGAATTCTTCGAAGCGATGCCTGTAAGTAGCAGCTTATACTTCAAAACAGTATATATGTTAACATATGAGAAATTAATATGTTATAGTTACTTTCCCTCAATGGAATATATGCTAGTTAGTCCCAGTCACCGTTTCACTCATGGTTTTTGCCCATGTGAAAAGTTATGTGGCCCTCACAGGAAAAAGTTTGGGGACCCCTGCTTTAGCCCAAAGGGAGCAGCAAAAGATGGTTTTGGCAAAAATATTGCAGAACTGAACAAATTTACACTAGTGTCAACATTTGCACAGAAACAAAGATGGCACCATTAAGAGCCTACTTGGACACCATCTGCAAAAAATGTTGGTTTGAGGATTAGTTGCACTTTAAGATCTCATAGAAAAAGAGTTTCTAGACTTGTCACAAGTTGTTTTTTAGTTAGTTTTGTTCTTTAGTTACATTTTAAGGGTTTTGGAACTTTTGTCTTGAAATTTCAAAGCTATACAAAAATGTGACGAAACAAACTGACAGACACTTAAACCGCCTTCCAAAAGTATTCATATTTAATTTAAAAAAAAATTCAGGTTAAAACTCCCGGGTTTTTTTTTTTTTTTTTTTTTTTTTTTTTTACAAAAAGTCTGTACTTGCACCCAGTGCCTCAGAGACAGTGTTTCTATAGAACTACCTTTAGCTGCTAACAGCTTGCTTTTGTAGGCACTCAAGCGTTCAGCCATGTTTTCTTTGTGGAACAGGTCGAGCTCAGCCAGACTGGATCAAGAGCTTCTTTGAACAGTGATTTTCAATTCTGCTGCAGTTGGATTTAGCTCTAAAAAGGGGCTAAAGATGAGTTCTGAATGTTAGCTGATGGAATCAGGACGGGGTTAAAAGGTTTTCCCGTTTTGTGTCCCTGTCCTCAGCTGGTCCAGCCTTGCGGTGTCAGTCCCGGAGCCCGGTACCCCCCCACGGTGCTCTGTGGGGCGGCCCCCTCCTCTCCATATGTGGTCACTCCACCTCCTGGGCCTCTGCTGCCTCTGCTGATGTTCAGGAGCAACACAGAAGCTGTGCTGCTGGGTAAACAAACAACACTTTAAAAAATGTGCCATTCTGTCAAACTCCCCTTTTACTAAAGCATTTTTAAAATTCAGGGAATAGCATCTGTTGCTGAAACATAAAAGCTTTCTACATGGATTTCACTGTTGTTCATTGAATCAATCACATATTTAAATAGAATTCAACCCCGGGTGTTTGGTGCTGTCATTGTTGTCGCTCTGCTTCCACACAGGGAACCACAGCCCTCATGGCCATGCAGCGTCCATCTGGACTGAAGACCTCACCCTGGCTCTGGAGACCGCTAAGAGGTTCACATTACTAAACATGTTTTTGTTATGCTACCAAAACGCATCATCTCATTACTCTTAAAGGGGCAGTATTATGTAAAATTGACTTTTTTGAACTTTACATCATCTTGTAATTTCATTCCTTCATCAAAAACATACCTGGTGTGTTGGCTTGATTCTTTCATGCATGTTTGAGGAATCCTTTAATCTCCATGGCAACCATTCAGTTGTGCAAAACACCTGGGCGGACCTAGCTCTGCTCCTCCTCAAAGCTGCAGTTTCCAAGCTTCTGCCTGACAGAGCAGGTGTACTCAGCTCCTTCAGACTAGCCAGCAGCAGTTAGCAAACACCCGGTGGAACTGCACATCAGCTAAGCTTATTATATGAGCTACTTCTCAGTGCAACGTTAATTAAATGAAATGTTAAAGAGTTAATAGAGGAGCCATGTTGTGATGACTTGCTGAAGGCGGAGTTTCAGAAAGAGCAGGAGTTTTTAAAGAGACAGAGGCCCAATTTCAAGGAGTTGAATTATGAAGTAAAATTCATTTTAAGTTATATTTGATATACAACACATATTTATAGGAGCTGAAGGTAATGTAGTTATTGTATTATGCTATAAAATGGCACTATGTGCTTGGAAAACGCACAGCACTGCCCCTTTAATATCTGTAAATATTTTTAGAACTGTTAAATTAGTCCGTCCAATTTTTAGCAATTTCTCAATCGTGGAAATTAAACCAAAATCATCAGACACCAGAATTTTTTTCACACTAGTGCATAATTGTTACCTTATTGCAAATTTTCTGGAAAAATTGTCAAGAAAAAAACTTTGGATTTAAGTGATGCCAACTCTCACCTGCAGGTGGCAGTACTTCTTACTTCTACCAAGCTGCTGCCTCAGCCTTACTTCATGTTCATGACTGATATATCGAGTAACACGTAGTTACGTTTACCGTCATGTATAAGTGCAAATGTTCCAAAATTCCTTGCTAATATTTGTAACGTAGAAGCTCAAATATTGTGAAACTCTTGTTGATTTTTTTGTTTACCCTCTTCCTGTGACTGTTTCCCTCCAGTCTGTCTGTGGGCTCTGTGTGGGTGAACTCCAGCTCCGTCTCCGATCCATGTTTTCCCGTTTCCGGTCACAAAGACAGTGGAACCGGCACCGACGGAGGACAGGAGGTGAGCTTGGATCTTTTTTCACCATGGCAACAGTTTGACTGTTCATCCCTGTGAAGCCACACAGCTGACTGCAGTAAAACACAATAAGCAATATTTTCATTTCGAACCCACTTTCGCTGCTAACCGATGGAATAAATAGACATTTGAGCTCAAAAACAAATATTTATAGTTTTTAATCTGTTACTCAGGTTATTTAACCATCAGATTGGTACAAAATGCTAATCTATCCATTCAGTGTTTCAGGAAGCAGAGATACTGGATATTTTCCCCCTTAACCTTTTTTACATGTTGTCACATTACAACCATAAACATCAACATGTTTTTTGGACAATACAACACAAACAATTATGTAACTGCAAAGTGAAAGACGGTATTCGGTTCCCTTGAATCATTCATTGCTTTGTAGAATCCTCTCTGAGCTCAAGCTCAGTCAAACGGCACAGAGAGCATCTGTGAAGATTAATTTTAAAGTTTTGCCACAGATTTTTCATGGGCTTTAGCAACTTTTCAGACAAAAAAATTCTGGTGTCGGCCAGAATTGGAATCGGCAGGCCAAGCTATTTAAAGATCTTTGATTGGTGCAGTCCTACTAATGGCGATTCTTATCTCTCCTCCAGGGTCTGTACCAGTTCCTGCGTCCTTCCTTTTCTTCTCCTCTTCCTCGCCCGTCTCCTGTTTCTTTGGAATACTCAAAGTTTGGAACAGAAGCTGCCCAGGTTGTCATTCCTGATAGCACAGATGGTGCCAGGCAGGTTTTTAATCCTCCCCAGATTAAACAATAAACTATAGAGTAGCTAGCACAGAGGAAAATGTTTATCTCTCTCTGTGTGACAGCATCCCTCAGTCCTACCCTCAGTTTGTCGGTGGTAAAGCATGTAAATCGATGTCAGGCTGCAGTGTGACTGTACAGGCACCAGGGGGCGACAGTGTGCTGGCCTTTTGTCCCGATGGAGGCCGAAAAGACGTCCGGAATGCCGTGGAGACTGCGATCAAAGTTCAACCTGGGTGAGAGCTTTGAGCACATATTCACAAATAAAAACAAACGGCACAATGAAAAGAAACATGTTCTAACTAAGGAAGAGACAGGTTTTTATTCAGCTGGTTACAAGAAAGGAAGAAAAAGAAACGAAAAACAAGAAACAGAAACTTACAAATATTTTCATAAACCTACATCTGTAAGGTTGCACAGTCAATAACCAGGCCACATTTGTTTATGCTGGTATTAAAGATGGGAAGGAAAAAATGTTCAGAAACTAGATTTTGTCCCTTTACAGTTGAGTAAAAATGCAACCAACTGGAAGAAAGTAAAAAAATAAGCATTAAACATTTTCTATCATTTGTATCACGTGGGCTGACCAAGGCCGAAACATGTCCAGACATACAGTAACTAGCTATCGTTAAGTGGAGCTTTTCAAGTTCAGACTCGGAAGAAAACACATTTTATTGTCTTCCTGTGCTCCTCTTGTTATTCCTCCCTAGTTCAATGTGATAGAGATGAGACTGTTCCTGCTGAGTCGGTGTCTGAACAAAGTCCAGAGATTAATCATCAACAGAGAGTGATGAAACGATTTGTAATAAACACATCGTCTCCGATCCCGAACAGCTGCTGGCAAAACTCTGTAAACGTTTAGAGTTGGTGATCACACACCGAAATATGACGGAGCGACACAAAGTGGTGTGAATGGTGGAGTGGAGCTGCAGCTAGCGATTAGATTAGCAATCGAGTTATTTCAACAGTTTATTGGACAAAGAAAATTAGCACTTTCTGCAGTTATTTATCTGCTTAAGTTTGTTTTGTACAACATTAAGAATACATGAAAAATGGAAATAACTGATTCAATTCCTTGTTTAAATAAGAAAATAAACATTTTATTTCCTTAGAACAACAAAACATTCATTTAGTGAACAATTGATCATTTGCAGCAAAAGATGCATCTGCATGTAAAGTAGAGTACTTCTAAATGTGATATGCTCAGCCACTTCTGCTTGACTTAACATGGTTGCTGTGTAGGACCTGTTGGTTTATTTTTGTATGAACAATTATTAACTGGACAGAAAAAGATGCTTAATTGGAGATTTAGTTTTCATAGTTTGAACCAGGTGAAGCTAAAACTGCTGGGTAGAACATATTTATTTCCACAGACCCATTTGTTAACGTCAAAGTCCAGTAAGAATTATTCTAACTCTCCTTCCCTCCTTCAGCTGGATGAAGAAGAGTCCGTCTGCACGCGCTCAGTCGCTCTACTCTCTGGCTAAAGGTTTGGAGTCCAGGAGGAAGGAGGTTTCTGCGTCGGTCGGCGCCCAGCTGGGGGTTCCAGCCGAGGAAGCTGACAGAGAGGTGGAGCTCAGCGTTGGCCGGCTCAACGTCTGGGCGGCGTACTGTGACAAAGTACAAGGTGGCTCCCCGGTGAGGCCCATAGAATCTCTGCAGCGCCGCGCATCGCTGTGGTCAGCGTTGACCGTCTCCTCCTCTTCCTCAGCCCATGACCCAGTCCGGCGCCGCGCTCTCCTTCCCCGAACCACTGGGGGTTGTCGGGATCGTCTTACCCGACAACGCGCCCCTCCTCTCCATGGTAACCGTTCTCGGGGCAGCCATCGCAACAGGCAACGCGGTCGTCATGGTGCCCAGTCAGAGGTTTCCACTCCCCGCATTGGCTTTTGTTCAGGTAAAAGAGCAATTCAGTGCCGATGCAACAGATACAGAGATGCGAAAAAATATTTATGAAGTTCATATAAGGGATGCACAATATATCAGCATTAACAACGGTATTGATCACTGCTAGTAATTTTTTAAACATATCAGTATGAATCCAATAAAAGAAACTTGGCCCATAACAACTAGTTAACATCTTATTGCCGTTTATGTTTCTTGGGACGTGGTTGGCCATTGAGCGCACCGATAAAGGCGCTCAGGCTGACCAATCAATCAGCTCCATTTTCCTTGAATTTGGAAAATCGGCGATCGATTGATGTTTACATGTGAAACCGATCGTATTCACTAACCTTATCTATCCCGACAAAAGTCTGATAATTAGCTACTAGCTGATTACAAATTTGTGCAAAACTTGGTCAATATATTAAAAAAAAAAAAAAAAAATCACAATTGCGGTGTTTCCATTAAATATGAAATGCAGTTAAAATCACAAGTGAATAAGTTTGTTTTTACAACAGGTTTTTAAGAAACATGCTACAGAATCATCCTTCAAATGATTCCTGTCATCTTTTTCTTTGTGGTTTTTGTGATTGGCAACATCTGCTTGTTGACCAATGTGACTCTTTTGATGTGAAAAAAGTGTTTCCATTGCATTTTTGCTAAATAAACCAATTTACGGCTGAATAAGACCTCATCTTGGCTGCAAAATGTTTTATCGATAATCAAAATTACCGTGTTTCCATCAAGCAAATTTATTTTCAGAATGTCAAATTGTGGAGTTGGATGATCAATGGAAACGCAGTTACTGTTCCCTCTGTATCTGCCATAGACAAACCTGCCCACCAGGTCACCACTACATGGGCCTAGCTAACAGCAGTCACCCCGCTGTGGCCAACTTAGCAACTTTGTCGCTATATTTAGCAACTTTTCATATATATATATATATATATATATATATATATAAAAAAGAAAAAGTTGGTATTGGCCTAAATCGGAATGCGTTCATCCCTAATTGTTCATTTATTGAAAGGGTTTAGATTTATCGGTTATCAGCTGAAAATAATATCGATTTTCTTAATCGGCCAAACTTTTTCCATCAGTGCATTCCTCGTTTATAACCTTCAGAATCTCATTTTAAGACATTTTCCTGATCTCACCTGCACTCTGATTTGTATCTTTCGTGCATGTTTTGGTCCTCATCAGGTGCTCCAGTCCTCTGACCTGCCTGCAGGTCTGGTGAACATCATCACGGGAAATCGAGACCAGCTCACAGTGGCGCTGGCTAATCACAGCGTCATCAAGGCCATCTGGTACTGGGGCAGCGCCCAGGTGAGGACGACGCGCTACCATCGTTAAATATAATAGACAGTTTATATATATATAAATAATATGTATAATCTGATCATGTCTCTGTCCTGTGTGTTGTTTCAGGGCTGTCAGTACCTGCAGCACACCTGCACCAGCCCGCTGAAAACCCTCAGGCTGTCCTGGCAACAGGGCGGGGAGGGGCGCGGCGCAGCCCCGGACTGGGCTCAGCCTCACCCGTCCCTGCTGGAAGACCTGTGGAGAAACGCGGTCCAGTGGAAAAGCGTGTGGATTCCGACCGCATGAGACGCTGACCCCGTCCAGCAGCAGAGAGAACAGGAGGATGTTTGGTTATTAGTTCTGGCAGGAAGAGAAATCAGGTTAATTATTAACAGCAATACTCAAGATGATTTACTCACTTTTTACATTCTGTCCGAATATATCAAATATATGAGGACCATTTTTTTATTATTATTATTATTCACACATTTTTTTTCCACTGGCAGTACTTCTTCATACTGTCAAAGTAAAAAGTGCAATTCTAACTGAACAGTGCTGACATGATGTTATATTTTGTGTTGAAATCATTTCATTTTCTCTGGATCTATCAGTGTTACACACATATTGGATAATGCTATTAAAAATCTCTGACAGATGTCAGTAAAGTGTCGGCCTTGGAGTCTGAGACATTGTGCTCGATTTGGCCAAACCGCAGCAGGGTTAGTGGGCGGGGCTTCTGTCTCCATGGTTTCAGCTCATTCACTCTCATTTGGTGAGTTGAAACGTCTGGACTTAAACATAATACGGTTATTGTGACCAGTCTTTGTTGAAATGTCACTGTTTTAACAAATACTGTACTTTCCAGAAGTCTTCATACCCTCTGAATTTTTTTATTACCTTTTTAACCTAGGTTTGCACCAATAGATCCTTAATTTTGGATGGTCGGCTGATTTCTTACATGTGAAACCAATATTTTCTACCTCTGCAAAGATCGTTGTCACTATGTTTGGAGACATTTCAAGTAGGGATGCACAATATATCGCCACTAACATCGGTATCAGCCGATATTAGTAATTTTTTTTTAGCATGTCAGTATTGGTCCAATTAATAAAACTAAGCCGAGATAAACAACAGATATTTACTTTGATCTTGTTCACATCTGTTTCTGGTCTCTTCAGTAGAGAAATATTAGTCAAATAAAAAAATATCGGCCACAACAGTAATATTAATGTTGAATATCAACATCAACACAAATGTTCATCTGTGTGCATCCCTAATTTCAAACAAAGAAAAATTATATTGGCTGATGAAGCTTTTGACAAACGAACACAAATGGTGCATCATTATGAAGTAAAAAGAAGAGAATTTACAAAGCCTAAGTTTGTACACTTGGATTAGGCGACCTCTGAAGGGATTTTATTGCACTTGATTTTATTCAGGGGTGTCAGAGTGAAGGATGTGAATACCAACTTTGCCAGAGATTTGTTAAATTTTTACGACATTGTATCTTTCTCTTTTCACTTCAAAATGACGCACTACTATCATGTTGGCCTGGCACGTAAAATCCCAATGAAATAAACTGAAGTTTATGGTTTATAATGTGACAAAATGTATAGAAGATTGAAGAAGTATTAATACCTTAAAAAGGTCCTAGATATGCAGTTTTGATCTCTAACATCTTACCTAACTGCCTTACTGTTACACACCAGAGGTCTATTCAGGTCCACCAGACTGAAGCGTCATCATCATGGGCTTCAGAATGACTTGTAGTGTTAACTGCTTAAAGTGACTGAGCTTAGTCTTCCCAGAAGGCTCTGTGTTAACAACAGTTACATCTTTGTGGAACCGTGCCTGTATCTGTGGCCAAGTATAAACAGGACTGTCAGTGACTTAGCAAAAAAAAAAAAAAGCTAGCTCAGTTAAAAAAAATGACTGTAGATTTTGCTTGTATGTCTTTTTTACTGTACCATAAAACTGTAACAGAGGCCATGGGCTCACTATGCAGTGTAAACATTCTCTTCAAGATGTGAACATCTATGTCGAAATTGTGTGATTAAAGTTATTTTGAAGTGTTTGTTACCACAGACTCATCAGGTACGTTTCTGTCCTAAGCCATAAATTAAAGAATTACACAAAGTATGCAATTTGTTGTGTAACTTGGTGCCTTAATGAATGATTTTAAATGCATTTCTGTATGCTTACCAGATTTCACTTGTAGATTTGTTGCTTTTGAGTTTACAAATTTAGAATTAATTTTATTGCTAGTTTATATTTACCCAGAACTCCTTGTATTATTGCTAATACGCTAGCCTAACCATTTCTTTCCACTCTTGTCTCTCTTCGCTGCTCCATCTGGGCTTCTTCCCAATTAAGTGAATTTCTCCGGTACTATTTCTAACCGGACCAATCGGCTAACGGAAGGAGAAATTGTGAAAGATGACATCGATTTTCTGAGCTTTTTAAAAGGTTTTAGCAATGGCAGCAGAGGAAATGAACAGAGTCGTTCAATCCATGTTGGTCACACTTCCAAATGTTGAATTAACGTTAACAGCCGCCTCGTTGGGATTAGTACTTTTCTCTTCGTAGTGAAGGATGGTTGTGCACAGCGTTCGGTAAGCTTCATAGTGTCAAACTAGCGCAATACCTACATCACGGCCAAATGTTAGAAGTTAAGTAAAATTAAAAACTTCAACAGAGTCCACGCCTTCATCAAGAAATCATTTCTAAATAGCCAAGCAAAGAACAAGTAGTTGGATTTTAGCATCATGTAGATGGACCTGGTGCTAATAGCTTACGTTGTAGTCAAAAGATGTCATAGAGAAGCTTTCTGTGTTTTAACATCCACATAAAATCTGTTACTAAATTAGCTTTCGAGCTTGAAAACATTTCCTGAATAAAGAGTTTTTTGGACAGGACATATAACCTCTCTGATTCTGATTTTAAGTGGTCGGTTTACTGACAGATCTGACTTTTTAATCACAGGCCATAAATATTCATAATGGCTGCTGTGTAGACTTCTGGAGGGCAATATTAGCTTAAAGTTAGCTTATTGTTAGCCTGCTTTATCCATTAACTTGTTTTGATGTGTTTAGAATCTTTGGATCATCACTTGTGATATTAAAAATCTCTTGTTTCCACCATGTTTTTTATGTTCTCCGTACATGGTCTCCTTCAAACAAACTGTTGTCATCTCAAACTTATTTGACCATTAAAACCTACTATGGTCTATTTACGCTGGCATTTTTGTTTCAGAAAACCGCTCAGTCTGTGGCAGCAAGTAGTAAAACTCACTTCACTGTGGACAGAGATGCAGGCAGCACATAATTAGACGACATGAGTAAAAAGGATTTGCTCCTAGCATCTCATTTTCAGAAACCAGTTTTGCTTCCCTTTTAGTTTTCTCCCTAACTGGTTCCAGCCAGAAGCCTGCTGACGTAAACATCTCTGTGGTCACAAGACCTGTCTCCTCCCGCCGCTGTCTAACCTGAAGAGGAACAATGCCGAGTCACAACAGTGACACGGCACTTTTTTAGTGCTAACTCACATCCTACTTCTGAGAAAAAGCTGACTAATAGTGTCATCTGATAGAAAAAGAGATGGAAAGCTATTGACAGAAATGCAGAGTCACTGTCTGAGTTTAGCTAAAAGTTTTGCCTACAATAAATTGTAGATTTTAAACTGTGGATCAGAGATACGATCCTGGACTTCAGCTGTGATGCAAATCAACTTTCTTTCTTTGAGGTTTTAATGTTCTCCATTAATTTCATATCTATTTCTGCTTTATTTCTCAATTTCTCTGTTTATTTAAAGGGACAATTCCCATTAATAAACAGCTTTATTTACACAACAGACAAAAGAGTTTAAAGAGTTTAGACTCTTTAAACTCTTTTGTCCGTTGTGTAGATAAAGCTGATTCAGTCCTACATGCTAATTTCAATTTGCAGCCTGTGGTAGATGAATGGTATAAAACACATTCTGTAAAGAACAAGCTTCCCATGTTAAGGTTTACCTTCCAGAACATTTAGACCACAGTTGCTTTTTATTTCTAAATAAAGACGTCAACATGTTAAGGAACAGGCTTTTTACATATTCAACATTGTTCAGTGCCAAGAATGCAGTTGGTTGCTTCCTCTAATCTCATGGGGACTTTTTCCACTTTGTCTCACATATTTCTAATTTCATAAGTGTTCCATTGATCAAAGCAAAGATTACAAAATGTGCCAGGAAACATAAACCAAATTGAAAAGATGTTACATTTTGTTACCATGCCTAGCCAAATTTAGTGTATCTAATAAAAAATGTGGTTTAAGCACTTTATGTCAAGAGAAGATCTAATTTCTAAGACTGTTTGCAGTTTTTCATGACGCTTTGTAGCATGTCCTACAGGAGTTGTAACCAAATACTTTCAGTCTTGTTTTCTTTTGCTGACTCACAGTTCTCCATGCAGGTCTGAAACTAAAGAGCTAAAGGTGAAGAGGCAACTTGGAGACCAGATATTTGTCACCTAATGCCATCTGAAACGTAAGGGTTGATAAAAGTTTGATGAGATAGTACAGCTAAGGCTGTCAAACATAAATAATTCAGCTGAAATGGCTGAAACAGTGTTTTTCTAAGAAGGATGGAACACTCGGCATTTGTGTAATTGCCCTTTAACTTGAGTGACAGGTTCTGCAAAGTTGTTTACTGTATATTCATATTGTCACAGACAACTTTTCAATGTGTGATCTGGAAACTCATTAATTTGTGCTTTAATCAAAGATAAATAAATGTTATTCAATGTAAATCTAATCTATCTGTGTATGTTACCTTGAATAGGGAATTAGTTTTTATATAGAAACTAGTTTGTTACTTTTTGCCACAAACTTCAGTCTATTCCACTGAGATTTTATGTGATAAACCAAAACAAAGTGATGCATAATTAAGAGGTGGGAGGAAAATGGTGCATTGTTTTTATTCCTTTCTTTTTATCAAAATTCTTTTTTTAAAAAAATAACGTCCAAATGTTGCCCTTTGTCTGCTGTTAAGGACGCCAAACTACTAAACAAAACACTTTCATTGTTCACATAAATTATTAAGATTCAGACTGATAGGAGTTATTTTTTTTATTATTATCTTGCATCTGTTTTTATGTGAAACTATGTAATGTAACATTCAGGGTGCAGGAAGGCACCTACAAAATAAAAAGTATTATTATTATTATTCAATTATTTACAACCCAAATACCCAAGTAGGCTCTTCCATGACTGAAGTTTGAGTTACGTGATTATGGGTGAACCGGCTCTGCGATGTGAGCCTCTTATAGAAGCAGGGAACGTTTGTTACGCATCAGCTGTCGATGAATCACAGAGGAACTATGTGTTACCACCAACCTCTGCAAGTTTGCTCACTGATTTTGTTGGCATTCATTTCTTATCTCTTTGCCTACGAGTACAATTATGTGAGTTGGTAGGGCATTGAAAAGTTAATGAAGCTGCTTTGTGAAGTAGCGCTGTGGTTCTACTGTCTGAACGGGTCCTAAACAAAGTAGCTGACCACGAAGACAAGCCCTTACACGAATGAGGCAACAGATGGAAAGAGTAGCAAGAACAAGTGGAAAATTACTGGCCTGCTGTGACGTGTCATTCTCTTTTACTTCGTTAGGGTTACATGTACTAACATACATTTACAACAAATTACTAAAACAAATAGATAAACTGTTGCCACATGTTTCAAACTACATCTAATGTGAGTTAGGAAGGTTTGGATGTCAGAATTAAAGTTAAAGTACGCTGAGGACCTGACAAAATGCAACCCTGAGAGTTCCTCTTCAGTAAAACTCTTATTAGGAGAAAGACAGCATCTTTGTTCATAAAAATTTCAACAGATTATTCCTTGGTTTAATGTTTTCTACAATGACATGATGTCTGAGGTCTTTTTATGCTTTGCAACGTCTCGCAACATTGCTCTGCTATTGAGTAAAGCCCTGAAAGTCACACTGGTTGTATCCCAGTGCCACATCAGCGGTTTTAAAAGTCATGTGGTGTTTTAGGAAGTAAAAGTTCAGTTTATTGGCTTTGTGCAGTCATAAACTTAGCCACTGTGTTTCAGTGAAGGTCAAATTAAAGAGGACCTCAAAAGTCTGTAGCCCTTTTAAATGCTAGTTTTTGTGATCCAAAAACATGAAATGATGACAAATTATTTCACAAAAAAGTAGAAAGCAATGACATGGTAAGCTACCATAACAATGCGGCTATACACGGCTCTACATTATGATGTCACCAGATGACTACAAGCATTCAGTAGATGCTTAGAACAAATCAATGTGTGGATGTGCCATTGCCTGAAGTAATTGTTTGTACACCTAAGGACGAATGATGAAGACTCAGCACAGTTTCAGTTAATAACTACTGATCTGAGCCAAAATTGAGGTTCAAATTGATGGATTCAGACCTGAACTTTCAGAGACACATAAAAACAGTTACAATGTCAGCCTTCTATCACCTGGAAATAATTCTAGGATTAAAGAACTAATGTTCCAACAAGTTCTTGAGAAACTCTTGCGTTTATCTTTAGTCGAATTGGTTATTTCAGCAAGACTGCCTAAGAAGTCAATCAGACAGCTGCTGCTGGTGTTCCCACCAAAACCAGGAAGATGGAGCATGCCCCTCCAGTTCTAAAGTTATCCCACGTTAGATTATAAATCTAGACCACTCAGATCTTCTGGTTCTAGTCTGCTCTCCATCCCCAGAGCTCAACAAGCAGCATCCAGGTTTTATTCTCCACTCTACTGGAATAACTTTTAGGAAACAGTGCAAATAAAACAGCTTAGATATTTTAGATCAAGTATAAAAACCCATTTGTTCAGTTTGGCCTTTGATTAATATTAACTGGAACACTATTAATTTCAGTCTGTATTTCAAACTTGTTTGTACACTTCTTGTCTTGTTGCTGGATTGTGCTATACTTAAAACCTGCCTTGGCTTCCCTTGCGTTAGTGGTTCAGTGCAACCAGCTCCAAGACAACCCTTAATTTGTGGCTCTCACCTTTGTGTGTTTCATAAGAGACAGCTCAGAGAACACAGCAACATATTTTAAGAATTATCATTAATTTAGTTATATTTAGGCCAAATGTGTCCATTTTTATGTTTAAGCAAAATATG